TGACATCTAGCCATTGATTGCTACCCATTGGGCCTGACAGTCTAGCCAGCTTTCTATCCATCTTATCCAATCCATATTTTTTATCCAATCCATATTTCCTCAACTTACATGGTTATTGTTTCCCTTGTTGATGAGGTGTGATTTCCCTTTACAAAAGCAATGCTAACTTTTTCCAACAACCCTTTTTCATCTGTGTATCAGATAATTCTGTTCTGTGCTATAGTTTCCACTAATTTGTTTCTCATTGACTCTAGGCTTACAGGCCTGTAATTTCTAGGATTGCCTCTGAAGCCTTTTACAAAAAAGAAAAAAAAATGGAGTTAGACTTACTACCATACAGTCATCTGGTACACAGGCTGATGTAGGCAATAGACTATATACCACAGTTAGGATTTCTGCAGTTTCATATTGGAGTTCCATTAGAACTCTTGGATGAATACCATCTCTGCTCCTAGTGACATCTTATTATTTATCACTTTGTTCCAAAACCTTCTGTACTGATAGAGAGTGTAATTCTGAGACTTCCTCAGATCTGAAACCTGAAATGTGTGGCTCAAGAGTGGAAGTCTCCCTCCAGTCCTTCACAATATAAACAAATGAAAAGAATTCCTTTAGCTCCTAAAACATCTAGTAGCCAGGAATCATTCAGCTTGGCTGGAAATATCAAAAGTTACCAAGTATTTAGCAATTACTGGAGAAGGTATATATGAAAGAACAGAATTCAAAAGCTACAATTACATTGTTGATGGGAGTTCTTGTGAAGCAAGCAGCTAGCAAGAGAGGTACTTCAGCCATCCTAAGAATGTAAGCAATTATCATTGATAAATCTTTTTAGCATGGAGAGAGAATTCAGAAAGGACAGCAGGATAGTATGCCTGACTAACTGGAGTGAAAACATGAGCTGTGACTGTGATTGAATGGGATTATGCAATATCTGGCAACTCTCTGCTGGTGTTAATGTACATTAGGATCATGTCATCACATGGAAGACCACCCACTAAAAGACTTCAGAGAACTTTGAAGAGAGCAGAAGAGGGAAGATCATGTTATTTTGTTGAAAATAGTTTGTTTCATGAGGACGAAAGCAGAAGATATTGGAGACGAACCATTGGCTGTGTTACTGGTGTGAAGCTGAAGATTTTGATTTCTTTGAAGCATTAGGCCAAGTTCCATTAGGATCTGGGCAGGAATAAACTGAATGGGACTGCACCTCACAAACAGGGTGGCTAATCTTTTCAGTTGGAGACAGTCTGGATCAAAGAACATTCCCCAGTGTGAAGGGAGAGTGCTAGAAAGCCATGTACAGTAGAGACTCAATGTGTCAAGAACTTGAATCAAGGTGGCAACGCATGTGAAGAGAAGACATGTCTGGGTTCTGGGCAAAGAGCAAGAACTGGAAACTTTTATTGAAAATAAATATACTATAACTGCTATCACAGAAATCTCCCAGAATAATTTGTGTGTGCGGTGGGTGGCAATTCATATTAAGGATATCATTGCCTGTATTTTGAGTTCTTGATAACTCAGAACTGCAGCATCTTGGAATGCATTTGGATCAATATGTAAATGAAGCCTAAGATGGGGTATTGGTGGGGGTGTTCTACAGATTATTTGAATCAAATAAGAACAGAATTACTTTCTTCTTATGCATCTGTCAGTAGTGTTTTGCTAAAGGTTTCATGCAGACAGTAGTACAACATCATTAATTTTTAGACATTCTATAGGTAGTTTTCTAATAGAAAATATATTCCATCCAACACAAGGTGGTTCTACTTCAGACCTCATTTTGTCACACCAAGGTGAATTAATTGCTGAAACAGATGCTGATGGTTGCCTACGGTTTAATGATCACGACCCAATGAAACTCAGTATGGGCAAATGAAGGACCGTCAGAACCAATAAAATATAGTTCAGTGATGGTATAAATTGGAAATAAATCAATATATAACAAAGGGGAAGTAGATAGTAATTGATATAAATTAAAAGCTTGGGAAGTATAGAAAGATGAAAAGTGGAATCCAGGGACATTAGGGAAAACATATTGCTTACATGGGCAATGAATTTTTAAAAGTATATGAAGAACTTAAAAAAAAAATCTTGGTAATGGGTAAAGGTCCTTTAGAGATGATAAATTGTTACTAATGATTCAGAAAAGAAAGACCATTCAATTCAATGTTCTCTACTTGGAAAATATTAGGATAATACACTCTTTTCGCATGAGACAGATTAATTGTTTTCCAGTCCATTCGTAATCCACGAGCATATTAACTTCTATTAAGGCAAAATATTCTTTAATCAGCAGGCCTGACTATATTACACTCAGCAGCTCTAAAAGAACTGGGTGAGGAGTTCTTTGGCCTGTTGATAGTTTTTAATAAATCATGATACCCAGAAAATTCCAAAAGACTGGAGAAAGGTTAATGTACCAGTATTCGAAAAGGCTTTAGTTAAGACATTTAGCAGGAGCCAGTTTTTAAGCCGTCTCCCCGTACATACCAACTTCTGTGGAGCCTCCTCCCTGTGCCCTGTTGCCTCTGATAAAGAGGCAGCAGGGGAAGCAGGCAGGAGCCAGTACAGTATATGCGGGGAGCCAGCTCCCACAGAGCCGTGTCCCTCCCTCCCCCTACAGTGGCAGTAGTGTGGAGGGAGGGGCAGGCGGGAGCCAGTGCTCACAGCAAACTGGCTTAAAAGCCAGCTCCCCGTGAGCACTGGCTCCCGTGGAGCCACATGCTCCCCCCACACCGCTGACTCTGACACAGAGGCAGCAGTGGAGGGAGGAGAGGCAGGTGGGATATTTTAATATATCCCTAATAAAGACACCTGGCAACTTGCCTTCATTTGCAAAGTTGACACCTTTAATCAAGGTTTAAACAAAGACCTGACCTGGATGGGCCGCTACAATCAATAACCCTAATGACATAAAAAGCTAAACATCGGGCACTTACAGCCACTCTGTTAGCCTCATTTAGCACGGATACTCTAATTGACAAGATTTTTTTTCTTTCTCTTTCCCACCCCATCTCCCCTCCTTTTCTGCTATTTATTTGTACCTCTGTACCCCTTGCTCCATTCATCTGAACAAGTAGGCTGTGCCACAAAAGCTCATGATACTATCTGCAGTTTTTGTTAGTCTCTAAGGTGCTGCAGGACTATTCGTTGTTTAAGTTTTTTCTGAAAAGCAGTGACTATAAAAAGGATATAGGGGTTTTAGCGGGAAGTAACACTTTCCCAATGATTCTGTGGCAAAATGGCTAATGCAAGCCTTATATGTATAAATGGGAGTAATATTATGCTTTTTATTTCTGAAAATGAAGTGGTTACACCAATTGTAGAATTCTGCATACAGTTTTGCTGTCCATGTTTTAAAAAGGGTATTGATATATGGGAGAGGGTGCAAAGAAGAGCCACAAAGCAACTTGAGGGTGGCAGAGAAATACCTTATAACTCGGGTGCCCAGCCTATGGCGTTCAGGCCATATGTGGCTCACCAAAGCATTTTCCCAAGGCCCACAGTCTGCTTCAACACAGTATACTAATAGCTGATTTGTTAGCATTTTTTCATTATATTTACATTAATTTTAGTTTACGTGAATGTGTAAATAGACAATACTGTATCTAGAAACCTAAAAATGTATGAAGCCAGCTGAACTTAAAATATAAATCAGTACAAGTGAGTTTAAATATTAAAATACATAGAATCTGTTTGGCCCACACAAGATTATGCTTAGGTTTATGTGGCCCTCATATGTAATAAGGAGGGGCTCTACTACCTTACAGGAAGAGACTTTTGGTAGTTCGCTTTAGCTTATCCAAAAGGCTAGACGGTGACTTAATTACCATGTTATCAGATCCTTCACAAGAAAAAATACTGGCTTACTAAAGGTTTTGTTAATCTATCCAGAAAAGACTTAGGCCACTAGAAAATCAAATAGATAATCTGTTGCCCAAGGGGAGAAATGAGGAAGAATCTTTTATTAACGTCTTTCCACTAGATAAGGAAATATACTGTTATGCCTTATTTAGAAAGTCATTTTCCCTGGTTTAGACACATTCCATAAGAGCCATAGACGCTTTAGCAGCATATGTTAAGAAGGTTTCCATGATGGAGACTTGTAAAGCAGCAACTTGAAGTTCCAAACATCTTTACCAAGGTATGTTTGGTGCATGTCTTGTGAATTACACCACAACAAATAAATTCTGCTTTCCACTAGGATTGTGAGAGGGATCTCAATGTGGGAGATTCTTGCAAAGGTTTTCCTCCCTTAAGTCACAGGAGGAAATGTTCTGGCCCATGTGTGGTCAGACAACTGTTTTTCTGCTTCCAAAAAGTAATCCTGCTTTAAAGTTAAAATTCCTATTTTAAAATCACATTCACATAAAGTCTCCTGTTACAAATAAGGTCTAGTTGACTTTTCATTATTCATTTGACTCTTAGTGTTTCTCTCAGCTTAGTGTAAATGAGTCAAGGATTTGCTTTAATTTTACTTTGTAATGCAGTAATGTAAGCCAATCAAGAGTCATTCTTTGCTGGTAAGAAAGTCTCCTGTTCAAAGGATGGGCATGATACAACATGAATTTATTTAGCTTAAGAAAGGAAAGATATAGGGGTGATATGATTGCAGTGGTCAAGTAACTACACGGGGAATTAATATGTAACAATGGGCTCTTCAGTCTAGCAGTGAAAGGTATAATGTGGTACAGTTGATAGACATTTCAAAGTACAAAAATTCAGTCTGGAATGAAAGTGTAAATTTTTAAGTGAGACTAATTAAACATTAGAAAAATTTGCCAAGAGTTCTGGTGGGTTCTCCTTCACTGGCATTTCTTAAATTAAAGTTTGGTTATCTTCTCTCAAATCTATGCTCTAGGAATCATTTTGCGGAAGTTCTATGGTCTGGTATACAGGAGGTCACACTAGATGATCACAATGATCCCTTCTTTGACTGTTTTATAGATTCATAGATTTTAAAGCAATTTTATGAAAATTTTGTTTCTTTTCAGCTTTAATAAAATATATACGACCAGTATTTGTGTCTCGGTCAGACCAGGATTCTCGCAGGAAAACTGTTGAAGAGATAAAGAGACGAGCTCAATCTAATGGCAAATGGCCACAGGTATTTTATAAGCCTTTTTATGTGACAAGATATTTAGCATTTGTTGGCTTTGAGAACCAAATGTAATTTTTTCTCTCTCTAGAGGACACACTAGACCTACATGCTTTTTCTCCACAAATGCAAGATTTAAAATGTTTCTTTGTACAATACATTGCTAGCATGATCTTTAAGTTCTATTGTAAAAATGTTTAGTTCTTGGAGAAAATTTCCATTGGTCCAAAAATGTTAGAAGCATTTGAAGTCTCTAAATTTAATAACCCCTAAGGTTCTTCAAGGAATGTCCCTGTCAGTGCTCCACCTTAGGTGTTTGAGCACTGCTGTTCCTCAGGTCAAAGAATTATGATAGCAATTTCCTTGGCAGGCTGCTCATGTGAGGCAGCTGGCACACACCATTTGGAGCAGTTACACCTCATGCGCCGCCAACTGACCCTTCAGTTCTTTCTCTGTCACCAAAGGCTTCGGTTGGAACTCAGCAGTCACTCTCTCAGCCTCTGCAAACAAACCATTAGATTTAGTAGTTATCTGTAACATTTCTATAATTATTCGTTATTTAATTAATTGTAGTTAATTGTTAGTTATAGTTACACTTTAAAAAAAAAAATTGTTCCTGCTTCTGAGGTGGTCTGTTTCTCAGACATGCCTGGTTCCCCAGGCTTTAAACAGTGTCTGACCTGCAGACTATCAGTCCCTGTTTCTGACGGGCACTTGTCCGTTGCTTGGCTGAAGCGCACTCAACTAACAAGTGCTCCCACTAGAAGAAGCTCACCACAACGACCAGGAAGGCTAGCAAGCTTCAGCTTAAATTGAAGTGACTCTGCCTGGCCTCTGATCTAGAGCATATGACACTACCAAGAAAACAGTCTCCAGTGTCAGAGAAATCACCCCCCTCACAGTTGAGCTCCACAGACTCTGCTTCAGGCCTCACTCTTCATCCTGGGGTGATTCCCCTGCAAAGAAGTGCTCTCTTTCAAAGAAATCAGCTCTGGCACTGAAAGCTCCAGATTGTGAGGCCCTGGGTATGTCCAGCAGCCGAAGGAGCAAAAGACTCTGCACAGGTCAGGTCTAAAGCAGCTTCTCAAGGAAAGCCTAAGTCTTCCCTGTCAGCCCCAACAAAGCCATGCTCCACCATAGCACCAAACATCTCCATGCCACCGTCTGCTGCATCTATTCTGCATACCAATCAGTTGGCCCGGCTGGTGCAGGCCAGCTTACCAGTGCTTGCCCTGACACCCACGCTGGTGCTGACCTTCCAGGTACAGCAGTCCTCTACTACCAATGCAGATCTCATAGGGTATGTCTACACTACCCCCCTAGTGCGAACTAGGGGGGTAGTGTAGACATACCCTCTGTTACTTCAGTGCCTGGAACACCACTGTTTGGCACCAAATCGATAAGAAGGAAGAAGTTTCTTTGGGTTTCTGCATCCCTTGTCACTCATCGGCCAGGTCAACTCAACAACCACCTCAGTGGCAGCCTCTTCTGTGGCTGCCCCCACTGATACTTGTGCCATCCAGGAGGCTGTATTGGGATCCATGGGCCATGTACATACCTCAGCAATCTCAGCCTGCCTCACAGCCAGCTCCATCGTACAGGTCACCGGCTGTCTCAGCTCATACAATTAATCTATCGGTAGCTGAAAAGGAGGAAGACCCTGAGGTGACGGAAGAGGATCCACTTGTTGATTCACGAGCACTGGCACACCCATCCTCTTCCTCACGAGATGACGCTATAATGCCTTCCACCCATTTTAGGGGACAATATGAAATCATTTCAGGAACTTTACAAAAGGGTTGTTGACTCCTTAGAGATTTATCTGGAAAATCTACCAAAGACCCAGCAGAGACCCACAGAAATTATTCATGCCTCCCCTGGTGCAAAACTGGTCCTCCCAATGAACCCAGTTTTTGTGGACGCTGCTATGACCATATGGCAGACTCCTGCCACCATTCCTCCCTTCTGTAAAAAGGTTTGATAAAGTACAATGTTGCACCACAGGGAGCAGATTTTTTTATGTTCTAACCCCTCCCCCCCCAATTCTTTAATTGAGAATGCAGTGAACCAAAGGGGCAAGCAGAATGCTGCACATACTACACCCTATGATAGAGACTGGAAATGCCTAGATCTATTTGATAGGAAAGTATACTCATCAACTACCCTTCAACTCAAAGTATGTGGCTTTGTTAGCCAAATATACTCGCAATGTCTTTGAAAAATATGTCATTTATTGAACAAATACCAGACAACAAACAAGAACCATATGTAGCAAATACCAATGTGGGTTCACTCATTTCCCACACAGTGCCCCAGGCCAAACTGGACACAGCAGTATAGCAGTTTCTACTGGAGTGGTCATGCAGTGGACATCCTAGCTACACCTGTCAGGTTTCCTCAGGGAGGTCCAGTTAGTGGTAGAAGACTTGCCATTTGAGGGTTCCAAGCTCTTTGCCAAGTCACGGCCAAACTCTTGTCTACAGCTGCTAGGCCATATGGCAGCAGCCACATTTGCATCCAACATGCTTGACTTCACATGAGACCAATACAGACACAATTCAGAGCAGTCTATAGACTACACAATAACCAGATCAACAACCAGCTGACCATACTAGCCAAAATAAGTGTCCCTATCCTGGTGGATAACCCCATCCAATGTCTGCAGCAGACTCCCTTTTTGCCCCAAACCACTATCCGTAGCGATTACTGCAGACACTTATCTCATTAGTTGGGGTGCTCGCCTGGACCATCATACCGTCCAAGAATGTTCATCTCCAGAGGAATCCAAACTTCATATAAATCTCGTGGAAATGAGAGTGGTGTGCAATTCATGCCAATACTTCCTATTCTTGATTCACAACAGGATGGTTCAGATCTTTACAGACAATCTCACAATGATATATTACATAAATTATCAGGGTGGAGCCTGCTCTTACCCCTTACGTTCAGAAGTGGTTCAACTGTGGAAGTGGTGCATTCCCCACAACATACATCTGAGAGATGCTTACTTACTGGAAAAGACAATGTCATAGTGGACAATCTCTGCAGGAATTTCACTCAAAATCATGAGTGGGAACTCAACTCCAAAATGCTGACCCCTGTATTCAAACGGTGGGGGTAACCCACAATAGATCTATTCACAACCAGCGTCAATACCAAATGCCCACATTACTGCTCCCAAGCAGGCCTAAGTCCCCATTCTTAGGGATTGCCTTCACAATAGAGTGGGTTGTACCTCTCATGTATGCTTTTCCACCACACCTACTTCTGCACCTTGAACTTGTGAACTTGAACTTGTGCCCCCTGGCGCCTGGCGGGCGAACGGCCACGCCCCCTGGCGCCCGACAACCTCAAAAGGTTGGGGACCACTGCTCTAAGTGATATTTATAGGGCAGCCACCTGGACTTCTATGCACATCTTTACTAAGCATTATGCTTTAGAGAGCTACTCAGCCTCTGGTGCATGATTTGGACATACCGTACTGTCTGCCGCACAGGTGGAAATTCTGAAGCTCCTTCCTGCAAGCACAAGTACTGTTTCATAGTCAACTAAGGTGGAGCACTCCTGGGTACACTCCTCGAAGAAGAAGAAGGAAAGTTACTCAGCTGTGCGGTAACTGAGATTTTTTGAGGTGGTTGTTACTGTGAGTGCTCCACCATCCCTCCTCCTTCCCCTTTGCTTTCCCTTTGCTTCGGAGCATCTTATTTTTTCTGTGGCAGAGAAAGAACTGAAGTGTAACTGCTCCAAACAGTGCATGGGGGCTGCCTTGCATGCATAGCCTACGGAAGGCACTGCTGCTATAATTCTCCAACCTGAGGTGCAGCTGTGGAGCACCCACAGGGACAACCATCTTGAAGAACTTCAGTTACCGCACAGCTGAATAAATGTCTCTTCTTGCTCTTGAATTATAATTGTTATGATGTGATACACTTTTTGGATGAAGAGAGGTAATATAAAAGAAGAAATGATTATGGCTATGGTATTTCAGCCTTAAACTTTCTAGAATCATGTGCATTTTTATTTTAAAATGTGAAGCACATTTAAAAACTGTCCTGTTTTCTGAAGATGCCAAGTCTTTGGCTTTAGTATTAGCGCTAGATATGCATCTGTGTGATACCTTATCTCTATAAGTGCATATAATAAGTCATATTTGATAAGCATATCTGCCTACATGATTGGGCAAACAAGTACATTTTAAATAGGCTTACATTTGTATTAAATTAGTTCCTTACTGTGTAGGGTCCCTCAGTGAGAGAGGTCTTAGTTAGTGTATGTTCTCTTTCCTAAAGCATTGGGACCCACCACAAGGAAGAAGAGCCTGTAGCTTTACAGCATACCATCACAAAGTACCTGTGCATTTAAAAAAGTGCTTTCTAATTGATATAAATAATATCCTTGCCCTTTATTTTCCCAACCACTATCTTCACATTCAGAAAACCAGAACTAGTTTGGTTCAGACTAAAAAAGCAAACCACCGAACTGCGAAACCCTATTTTGGGAGAGGCAAGGTAACTGAAAGATGAAAATTTGTGAACTTTTGAAAAACCTATAGAATGAAATATTAAGCAACCTAAATTACAGCTGTTCTTAAACACACACTCTAATCCTATAGCCAACATGAATAAGAAACAAAATACTTCCATGCCATAAGATAGTCAGTGATTTAATAGAAGTGTTTTACAATTGGGTCCTTAATATTTGATCCTATGCCTTTGCTGAGCAACTCAAGGTAAAATAAAATGTAATGCAATCTTGCTTACTGCTGCAATTAAAATATAAATAAAGGGTATAGTTTAAGTAGTGTTTCTTAATCGCTTCAATGCCATGCTCTTGTTCAGGAAAATGAAATGAATTGCACCCCATGTAACCTCACTTTGTGTTGATCATAGTCTCCCTAGTTTAACTTATGCATCTTCCATGCCCTGTTGGCAAGTCCTTTGCCTCTCCTTCTCTCTTTCCTTCCTCCCCTGTGACATACGCAGGGTACAATCGAAACACTATAACTCATGCCTTCTAACATGGGGTGCTCTTTAAACTGCTTTGTTGCTGCAGACTCTGGGGATGTCAGTGACTAGTTGAGTAGTCGACTACCCAATAGGCCTAGACTTATCACTACTCAACTACTTGTTTTCCTCTCCTCCTCCCTCCCCCTGCCTTTCTGGAAGCAGGACCTAGTGCTGGGGGGAGCTGGGTTTGTTTCCCCCCAGCACCATCTCCATAGGAGGAGGCACAGAAGTCGGGGACCTGGTGCGAGCCAGGACTGCTTCAGTCCTGGATTGCATTGGGCCCCCCACTGTAGCTCTGCCTTTTAAATATTGTGAGAGCCAGGCAGCTCTCACTACATTTGAAAGGCAGAGCCCCAGTGGGGGACCCAGTCCCAGTGCTAACTGGGACTGCTCAGTCGTAGCTTGCCCCACCCTCCAAGAGCTAAGCCTGCTCTGGCTCTGCAGTTTAAATGTAGTAGGAGCTGGGCCACGACCAGCTCCTACTAAATTTAAACTGCAAATTTGCAGCAGGGGTAGGGAGCACTTATCGACTAATCAAGTCGACTACTGGATTAGCTAATTAAATGCTACTTAACATCTGTAGCAACCTCTAGTCAGGAGTGCCCATAAGGCGCCTCCAACGTGTCACTCCCACCTCTGTTTGCGTGTGTGTTGCAGCCAGCCCGTCCTCACCTTGATTACATTGGAAGTTGACTCTCAATCTCCAGTTATAGATTTTTCTTGTGCTGTCTACTTCTTTCCTGGACAATGCAAACTTTTATAAAAAATTCCACATTTTATTAATAAAAATGCAAATATTTTGTTACTTCAGAAGGAGTTTCACAGACCCTTCAATATAAACACATCAGATTAAACAATAAACCAAGTTTACCAAGTAAAAAGAGATTTTGTGTACACAAGTGATGAAGCATTAAAGTTGCAAATGGTTGTTAGAAAAATAAAGACAAAACTTAACTAGTACTTAATTTAATAAACTATGTTGAATTCAGAACAAAAAATTTCTCACCAGATGCTCTCAGCAGTCTCTCTGATCAAACTTCTTGGTTCAGGACTGCTTCTCTGGTTCATTGGCTGCTTCCTTTGTTCCTTTTCGTATAGTGAATTGATGGACAGAGAAAGAGGAGCAGTGGCTTGAAGTATTCGTCCCTCACTTCTGTAGTATGGGTGCCTTTTTTTGGTACACATTTCCAGCTGAGATTCAGGAGACAGAGTTTCCATAGGAAAGGACGTTTCCTGCTGCTTTTCCTCACCTGTTGAAGCCTCCTCTTTGTTTCCTTTCCTATTTGAGTACTCTATTTAATGCTTAAATACAAATTAAGCAGAACACATACTGCTTTGTTTGAGACCTTTATCCCAAACTGAGGTTGGGAGTGTTAACACCATGTGGTCACTCCTCCCAAATAGAAACCACTTTGAGAAACCTCAGTCGTGCTTCCTTTCTTAAATGCTCTGAATACTGTAGTTATCAATGTTGATATTTAAAGTATGGTTGCAAAGTTAGCACTTGTTGAAACGAATGTGACAGTTACATCTTATAGCCATTGATTGTCATGCTCTCTTTCGAAGTCAGGCAGGCCCTCCTGCATCAGTTACATGTGGTTCATGTATTTTTTTTTAAATGAACCTGAGAATCTGGAAAATAGTGACCATCTAGTCTCCCTATTTTCCCACCAGCTAATCCTTCGTGCTACCCTGTATAAACACTGATTTAAAGAATAAAAACCTGCGGAATAGGATATTTTAATCTCCGTTTCCATGCATATGAAAGTCTTTGTCTTCAAAAGGCCATTCTGTCATTGAAACATTTTCCCTAACTTGCTTACTTTTTCCTAACTTACTGTATCTCAGATGTGAAGAGTTCTAATACCGGTTTTCAAAAGTACAATAAAGAACAGTAAATTTTGTTTTTGTTCCAAGATAATGATATTCCCAGAAGGAACTTGCACAAACCGATCTTGTCTAATTACCTTCAAGCCAGGTAGGCATGAAGCATATTTTTATTTAAAGAATGTTCTCATATTTCATATATTGGTTGCTATTGCCAGTAGTTTGCAGTTTTTGAATTTGAATTAAAACTGGTACTGAAGTGTGGTTGAAGTGGAATCTTTTGATCCTATAGATGGATTCTAGCTTTATTATTACAGAAATCTTACCTTGACTTAAATTAACACTTTTGACTATTTTCTGGAATCTGTATAAGAAGCTAAAAGACAAGTGCCTTTTAGTGCTGGGGCAATCTTAGCACCTCTGTGAAATGTATAGACTAAAGATTTATTGTACGTTTGTGACTATTCGAGGCTGCTGCAGTACTTGCTGCTGGGTAACCTGTTGTTGACTCTGCTTTTCCCGTTGGATGTCACACATGTTCTTCTGAGGAGATGCCCTCTGGCCAGCCCTATGCTGGAGCATTTGGCAATATATTGTCAACTAGGAGGACTCTCTCCCAACCTTACCCTTCCATTCAAAATTTCTGTATTGCCAAAAGCCATATTTCAAATGCTTGCTTATGTCCCTCTCAATTAGGTGTGTGCACAGTTGTCAGAAGCTTTTTTCCCTAGCAGTACCCATTGGGTCAGCTGTGCAACCTTCTAGTGGTACCTCTTCAGGTCAGCACGGTTCTATATACTAGGAATGTTAAAAAGTATTTATTTAGGTAAACGTGTAAAAATCAGTGGTTACACATTTACACACGGGCATAGGTGAGAACCAAGCACCAGTTCCTGGGGAGCCGCCTGCCCATCCTATTCTGCTGCCTCTGGTACAGCATGGGAGGGAGAGCTGCGTGTAACTGTGAAGGTTAACCGATGAGCTCAGGCCCCATGAAGGCACTTCAGCAGCTCTGTAGCCAACCTGATGGGTACTGATCGGGGAAAATCCCTCCAACAAATGTGAATAGCAGCTTACTATGTTTTGTTGCCAAAAACTGCTTTTTGATTTTGAAACAGTGATAGCGTTCACACTGCAGTACGACTTTTGTCAGGAAAAATGTCCAGTTTTGGTGACAAAAAGCTTCCTCTGTGCACAAGACTTTGTTCCTCTCAGAGAGAGCCAGCATAGAAACTGCTGTTACTTTTGGAAGCCAGTTCTGTCTACAAAACTATCCCACAATGCCTGCCCTGATATCTCTGCAGAGTGTTTTGATCTCTGCTGCCCTGTAGGCAAACACCCTTCCCTTTTCAAAGCTCTGGGAAGTATAGGACAGCTGAGTATGGTAAACAGCAAATCATTAGAATGCTCCTGTTCTCCCCTGCACTAGAGGCACAGTGGTAGGCAAACTGCTGCTTCAAGGGGAAGGGGACAAGCTGCTGTGCCACTTAGACATTCCTCAGCAGGGAGAGATCAGAGAATTGCTCATGATGCTACTCCCGGCAGCTGAGTAGTCTGTGGGAGAATTCAGAGGGAATCCCAAGATGCGCTGTGATCATCTGTATCTTCCCACAGTGATGCACTGTGGGATACGTACCCACAGTGCATTGCTCCCATTGCCGATGATGATGCCCCCAGAGTGGACAGGCTGTATCGACAGAGAGGGCAAGTGCAAATAGCCTCCGGCGATTTTTGTTTTGTCGATTTTTGAATGTTGATGTTCATTTTGTTGACAAAACTGTCTACTGTAGACATACCCTAACTCTCCATTCCCTTCGCCCCCTTCCTCTGAAATCTTATTGCCTCTGACTTTCCCACTTGCTTCTTGGTGCTATAAGACCTTTAATCAGAGTCATTGCTTTGCAGAATACATTCCCCATTCTGTTTGACCTACGTCCCTTTGTTCCTAGTTGGATGGCCATTTTAATACCGTCAGTTGGTTTATATGAGCTGATCTTGCCATGAGTCAAATGTAAGGGATTGGGCTGTAATAGAAAATGTATGTTTTCATAATTAATTATGTTTTATGTAGGCTTTGGGGGATTTTGAATATTTATATTTCCAGTCTTTGAAATGCTTGTGTCTTCTAAATAAATATAGGCACATATTTAAAAATTTCTTTGTGGCATATTGAGAGAGATTTTACTACTTCCAGAACTTGTATTTTTTTTCACCAGCATGCTATGAATTTCTGCTACTGTACATATCAGAGTAGTGATGTAACCAATGGTCACAATTTTTTTGGAAATAAGTAATTTATTTAAAAATATCAAAATATATGCCAAAGAGTAATGATGTGTATTGTGTGCTTTCCAGGAGCATTTATTCCTGGAGTTCCTGTCCAGCCAGTAGTTTTACGTTATCCTAACAAATTGGTAAGTTCCGCTTACTCTGCAGATTGAGGGTACAGGATATATTAATTTTTGGACCTATTCTTAGAACAGTTAGAAAAATGAAGGTTGTAGGCAGGGAATGTTCAGACCATTGGACAGTTGGGGCATGAATGTATAGATGGGTAAATTAAAATGACAAAGAAATAATATTTAATCCACAGGATCATTTTCAGTTAATTCATTATATTTTTCTTGGGTGACGGGTAAACCTCTTCATCATAAAAATAAGGAAGGGAATGTAAGCCTTGCAGGAGTCCTACGTAGCATAACTAGCCATGTGAACCAGAGTAGGGCTGGCCTTGGTAGAATAATAACATACTGCGTATTACCTAACCCAAAAAAGACACAGATCTCTTAAGTATCTGTATCCGAAAGCATTCCTAAGAGATGATACACGAATATGCTGACCCCTTGTAAAGATAAGGAGGGGCTGACAGGATGATGAATGTGGATCTTTTGTTCAAACTCATGTGTGAGGATCAGGTTAGTAACTAACAACACCTGCAGTGCAGTACATAACTTTTTTCTATCAGTATATAAAAGAGGTGATAGCAGGAGAATATTTGAGCTAGTCTAGGGAACAGGATCCTTGCATTCTGACTGAATTAGTACCATTGTTGCAGGCCTTCCTGTGTTAATATACCTGTAGCTCCTGTGAGGCGCTAGTACTGTGCTTTGTTGCCGGTAAACTTGGCTTAAGTGCCTTTGACACAAAATGGAACCTGTGATTTTTTTTTTTTTAAATAAAATCAAGGGTTGTTGAATCAGCAAATTGCACTCTGCTAGTGCAGCTAATGCTGGAGCTCCAAGAACTGCAGCACTAGTAGCATTGATATCTTTAATAGCCTTTGCAACATTCCACATCATTAACAATCTGATTTCTATATGTATTACTTTCATGCACCTTCATATTCTGCTGCATGATAATTTCCTTTGTTTTTCTGACTTTCATCCTTAAAGCCTACAACAGCACTTTTACTTAGTTCATTACCTTGCAAGATTTCTATGGTTTGTTCTCCAGTCAGATAACAAACTCTCCATATATATATGTATATGTGCTTTCTCATCTCTGTATCCTATCACCAGCCTGTCTCTTATCAAGAAAACCTCAAAGGGGCCAAAATTGCAAGACTGGGTCTTGAGCATCAAGCCTGTGACACATTCTTCAACGCTTTCTTGTTCCTTTTGCACTCTTGTGTGGAAGAGCAATCTTTCAAGAGCTTCGCTTTCTAGGTACACAAGCATTAGCTTGTGCTAGGCCCCTATCATAATCAGTGTTGTTCATGAGAGCTAAAAGCTATTATAAGTATTTAGGGCATCTATTCCAGACAACGGTAACCTCACTTTCCTGGAACTAGTCATTGTCTATGTTTATATACCCAGGTAGTGAGAGACTATTATAAGCTTCACTCAGGTCTTTTGTCTGCAGTCCGAACCCCACATTCCAAAATAGAGACTGATCATTGGTCTTTGCAGCTGCTTCCCATATCTTTACTCAGCAGGGATAGCTAATGCACACGTGGGATGGAAGGGACATGATTTACAACTACTTGAGATGATTTTTTGGGTTGAGAGTTTCTCCTAGGAATGGTAACAGATGCAACAAACTGCTAGAATTTCCCAGGTAAGAGATGCTATTTTAGTGGCTTAAATTAGTCAGCAGAATGCTGTGTTGAATCTATCACTTAATGATATCGCTGCCCAGAAAATGAGTTACCATTAAATTGCCCACTTCTGAGACCTGGCTATCAGATTTGCCGGTCAGATAGTGGCAATCTAGATAAGAGGCTTAATTTCTCTGATATTTATAGGGCTATAGTTAATGCTCTAGGCCAGTGTTTCTCAAACTGTGCTCCGCGGAGCCCCATGGCTCCGAGACATCTCCAGTGGCTCCGCGAGGTTGACAAACTGGAAACATTGATAGGTACAACACATACAATCAGTGGCCCGCTGGGGCTCCGCATACATTTTTACGCATGTAAAGGGCTCCGGAGCCCCAAAAGTTTGAGAACCGCTGCTCTAGGCCATAAGTGCACTCTGTGATTTGAGAGATTTAGGCACACACTCAGAAGCCTAAAGAAGGGTGCCTGAAAATGAAAGACCAAAAAACCCAGACTTAATAGGTCTGCAGTGCTAGGGTATTTTAGTAGCACCAATATCACTAATAGCAGCCCTTCTAACAATGGAAAATTACAACTGGCTATTAGAAGTCACCACATCACCCTAGGGGTAAAGGTAAGTCTAAAGTTACATTCCAGAATTGGTGATGGTGGAAAGGCCCCTTTTCTTTTAATGTAACATTTTTTGTTTTTATTGAAATCACAAAATTTTAAAATCAAGGCATAATTTATAATTCATTCATCCGTTATAGTCAAATTTCTTTTTCTAAGCTGCTAACCTTTTCTTTAATGGGCTTTTTGGTACGTTCTACTTTCTTTTATTCTGTTTGTGTTTTAGGCAGTAATGAAATATTTAAGATATTGACATTGGCTGTGTCTAGACTGGCTAGTTTTTCTGGAAAATAAGCCGCTTTTCCGGAAAAACTTTCCAGCTGTCTACACTGGCCGCTTGAATTTCCTCAAAAGCACTGACTTCCTACTGTAAGAAATCAGTGCTTCTTGCGGAAATGCTATTCTGCTCCCGTTCAGGCAAAAGTCCCTTTTGCACAAAGCTTTTGCGCAAAAGGGCCAGTGTAGACAGCTCAGATTGTTTTGCGCAAAAAAGCCCCGATCGCGAAAATGGCGATCGGGGCTTTTTTGCAGAAAAGCTCATCTAGATTCTTTTGCGGAAAAGCGTCCATGCCAATCTAGACACTCTGTTCCGAAAATGCTTTTAACGGAAAACTTTTCCGTTAAAAGCATTTCCGGAAAATCATGCCAATCTAGACGCAGCCATTGTGTATAACTTTCAAGATCCTGGGACTCTTAATCTTATTGACTTTAAATTGAGCTTGGGTACCTAGTATCAAATTTAGAAAATACAGTTGAGAGAATAGTGCAGGGGTCTCAAGCTCCCAGCCCACAGTTCTGGGAGTCGTGGCTGGACTGTGCAATTACGCTGGCCGGGGATGGTCCTTGGTCCAGCAGTTTGAGACGCCTGCTGTAATGCTTACATTGCTGTTTGTTTGCTATTTATCTGACATTTCCTTCTTGAAAACTTAACTCATCTTTCTTCTAAATCCTTTTTACTCCGCGTCCATTGGTGTCTTATATTCCATCTACCTAGTTGTTCTAGCCCATAACCCAGAAGTCATCATAAACTTCTCCCCTCCCTTATCCCACAAATTTGGGTCTTTGCCAAATCTTGCAATTTCTTCTTCCAGAATTTCTAAGGTTCTGTATTTTTTTCTGTTTGTCCACACAATGAAAACTTTTTTGTATAGGCCCCATAGTCTTCCCTTTTGGTTTCTGTCACTTGCTCCTTTTTTTGCCTCCCTAGCACGTATGTTGTACCCACTTTCCCATCCCTGCCCATTCAGAATGTGGGCACGAAGAAAACCTTCCTCGCTTGATCTAAACATTGCATCTCCCTATTTCTCCTTTCTTCACTGGATCAAGTTTGTTTCTTGGGCTCCCCTTGTAGACCCTTTATAACCATCTCTTCCTTCTTTCTACCCCTGCCTCTTATGTCATGTGCCACTCCAACCTGGATAGCATTGAAGCCTAGCTTCTCCACTTCTTCCACAATAATTTCTCTGCTTTTTTCCAGGCTTTCCCCTACACATGGAATTCCTTTTCTGAACTAATGTGCAAAGGCACTACCCTCTCCTGTTTCAAATACCACTTAAGTCCCACTTCTACTGTAATGCCAACAAAAAGGTAGCCAGCTTATATTGGCAAGATAGAGGTGCAATTGAGAATAGCTTTTATTTCTATGTAACAAAAATGGAAGTCACCGAACTTAAAAAAAATAAATAAATAAAAATTGGTGCTTGTCTGTATGCTATATCCTTCTCTTCTGTCTTTCACTAGTTTTGTCTTTTTGGATTATGTGTTCTTCATGGCAAACCACCTACCATATATTGAATTCTGCTGCTATATAAATGAGTGCCTTTCTTGGTAATTCTCTTGTCACAAAGTCAATGCAGAGCTCCAACATGATTAAATTATGAAAAAATTTATAAGGCAGAGTGTGGAGTAATTGTAACTGAAACAAAAACCAGGACTATGTAGCACTTTAAAGACTAACAAGATGATTTATTAGGTGATGAGCTTTCATGAGCCAGACCCACTTCCTCAGATCAAATAGTGGAAGAAAATTGTTACAACCATATATACCAAAGGATACAATTAAAAAAATGAACACGTATGAAAAGGACAAATCAAATTTCAGAACAGAAGGAGGATGGGGGGAGGTAAATGTCTGTGAGCTAATGATATTAAAGGTGATAATTGGGGAAGCTATCTTTGTAAGGCTTTTGTTTTGCATATTGTATCTTCAGTTTTATATGGCTGGCTGACTTCAGAGAAAAATAAACTATTCAGGTCAATATGGAGATTCAGAAGAGAGACAATGTGACAGTATTTCTGTTCCTTTATGGTTTGGAGTTTTTTAAGCAACAGATAAGTATGCTTGTAGGAGAAAGAAAGAAAGAGCCTGAAGCATGGGCCAGATGCTTAAACCAAAGTAAGCAAAAGTTATACTATGAGTAATAGACAGGCCATGTCTAAAGCAGATGATTGCCTGCAAGTCAGTGTCTCTTGGCATTAAAACTGCTAGCACTGGTAAAAGCACATGAAATATGTAAATACATTTAACCAGGACAGTACAAGAACTCCCGGCTGAGTACATAATAAAATAGTTTGAAACAACAAGAGTGAAAGCATAACAATGGGTAGTGAATGCTTTGGAGGAAAATACAAAAGGGGGTACCAAATGTGTCATTAATGCGTGAGATACTTAAGGTGTGTATTATAGATTGTTGATCTCTGTCTATAAATGGGGTACCTCGACTTAACTCTTTGTCCAGCCTACGGGGCAATAGTAACATCCATACTATTGAGCCGTGTCCATTGTCACAGATACAAACGAGTAGGGGCTCAGAGGCCATCTGGCTATTAACATTCATATGTGCCTTCATATCTTATCTGAGTCTATGGTCTTTGGAGGCTCTCGTGAAGTGTATTATGCTAGCTACCTGCATACAGGTGGCATGATGTACTGAGGGAGCATATGAAAACACATGCAGCTGAAATTTATCATCACTGATGGAGTCAGGATGCCACACCAGTGAATCCTGAACTTACATTATCACTGTCCTGAACTACTACAATGCTGACAAAGTGTTCGCTTTTATGTGAAAAATCTGCTAATAAAGGAAACGAATCTGCACCATATCTATTCCTAAATATTTTTTCCATGTTCTGTCTGTTGAGTGATCTCTGGGTCTTTAAGTGTTCTATACATTTGATTATTTTGTGTGTAAAATCCAGGCTTATTTTCATTGAAGATCCCGTCTTAGAGAGCTGGCTTTTAATGTAAAGTGGATTGTTAAAATGGTGGATTGTAGTTTCTGTAGTGATTTAGAATATATGCCATTCATTGTGCCGTGAAAGAGTTTTATAATACAAATTAATTTAATTTTCAATGTGTTGTCTTTTTTGTTCATATGTAGGATACGATCACATGGACATGGCAAGGTCCAGGAGCGTAAGTTAATTATCTTCTTTTCTCTTTGTTCTGCAATTGCTTTCTTCAGTTACTTTGGTATTGTTATTTGAAATTGTACAAGTGTACTTTCAAATAGATATTTCTGATTATTTAGATCACTTTATTTAGAGCATTCCACAGAATGAAATTATGCCTTTTCTTTGGTTGCTGCATTATAAAAATATTCAGCAACTAGAGCCCAAATGTAAATGGAAAGTAAGTCTTGCTACTACCATTTTGAAGACTTATGCTGTGTATTTTTGTTTTGGTATGTCAGCTTTAATACTTCTGGCTCACCTATGTGAAAGGAGATTATCATTCTACTCATTATATTATTAGTGACTCCGTATCACTTGGCATTTTTATGTTGATTATGATTTTATTGCTATCTTTTGAAAACGATCTGTTCCACAAGTGAGAAGAGCAGGTGGTTTAAAATAAAACTATCCGTTGTTCAGTAAGCCCTTCCAAAATGAATTAACCAAAGCCACGTCCCGTACAGTACAAAACAGATCAATGTTTACAGTTGAAACGCTCACCTCAGTGAATTTTATTTTAGCTCTATTTCCACTCAGAAAATGTCTGAAGATAGAGCATTTTGAATAAGAACTGAGTGACAGATTTTGAATCTAGTAGATGAAGAGGAAAAACGAATTCTATGGAAAATGTCCAGCCATCAGCCTCCTGTATCTGAGCTATTAGCTGAGTGCATCAATTGATCTCACCTACTGTGATATAGCATAGAATCATAGAAGATTAGGGTTGGAACAGACCTCAGGAGGTCATCGAGTCCACACCCCTGCTCAAAGCAGGACCAACCCCCACTAAATCGTCCCAGCCAGGTCTTCCAGGCCTAATTCTACCACCTCCCAAGGTAATCCATCCCAGTGCTTCACCAACCTCCTAGTGCCGCGTTTCTCAAACTGTGGGTCCCGACCCCCTGGGGGGTCGCGAGCAACTTAGAGGGGGGTCATGGTATCACAAAGTTTGAGAACCCTAGTGAAATAAATTTTCCTAATATCCAATCTAGATCTCCTCTTCTGCAACCTGGCACAATTGCACTTGCACTCTCTTTCGAGAGAAGGATGGAAATGAAGACATTAGAAATTGCAAATGAAGCCGGGCTTTAAATATCCCACACTTCATTTGCATATTCGCGTTATGGCGCTATTTCAAAATAAGTTAAGATGTTGTTAAAACGCAATTATTTCACGAGAAAATCCTTGTCTCGAAATAACTGGTAAACATCATTGTATAAGGTATAAGGGTTATTTCGAGAGAAGGGTTTTCTCTCAAAATAACCGCATCTTAACTTATTTCGAAATAGTGCCATAACGCAAATATGCAAATGAAGCATGGGATATTTAATTCCTGGCTTCATTTGCAATTTTGAATGTCTTCATTTGCATCCCTCTCTCAAAAGAGGGTGCAAGTGTAGACATACCATTAGACTAGACTAATAAAACTGTTCTGTTTTTATATCCAACTTCAAAATAAAAGAAGGTAATACTTTGTTCCATACGTCAAAACAAAAAGTATTGGCAACTTCTACTTCTATTTCAATGACACCGCTGTTTACCATGACACTTTTTAAATGCAAATTTACTATTTTGTTAAAAGTATATAAATGTGCTGGGGTCTTCTACTCTAGAATTCCCACTTTATTGCCTGGATCTTAATATGCAACTTTGGAATAAATATTCTTATATGCTTCCAGAAACCCATAAAAGCACATAAAGATGCAATCCAGAAATAGTTTTTTATATTAAAGATATATCTTACCCAAAAGACATACCATTAGGTGAAGAGTTCAGTGTGCTATTTGGTTATTTGCTACATTCAAAACTTGTCTTGTTTTTTTCTTTTTTTTTTAAGGCTGGAAATTCTGTGGCTTACTTTGTGTCAGTTTCACAGTTTTGTGGAAATTGAGGTTAGTATAAAAGCAGTAATGCATTCTATTTTAGGCAATACCAAACTTCATTTCTTGTAGATACATATGTATTGCATGCTGTCATTTCTGCAGTAAAAGGGTGCGTATAGACTGCCAAGATCTATCTTGCCGCCTGTCTACACTGGCTGCGAGTATTTGCGCAAGAACACTGACTTTGTACTGTACAAAATCAGTGGTTCTTGCGCAAACACTTTGATGCTCCCACTCAGGGATAAGCCCTCTTGTGCAAATATTCTTGCGCAAGAGGGCCAGTGTAGACAGGAAAGTTAATTTCTTGCACAAGAGAGCGTCTACACTGGCACGGATGCTTTTGCGCAAAAGATGTCTTTTGCGCAATAGCATCTGTGCCAGTGTAGACAGTCTCTTGTGCAAATACTTTAAAAGTATTTGCGCGAAATCATGCCAGTCTAGATGCAGCCAAACAGTATAATGAAAATGTATGATCAGACTTAAAATGTTAAAACTGCATTGATACAGACTGGCTACCACTCATATTTTGTATAAATTGTTTTCTTTATTTGAAAGCTTGATTCACCAAATTTCAGGAGAACTAGCCTTCTTCTGCACTTAAAAGATTAACCTCTTTATCACCGTGTATTTCTGTCTCCTAAGGGAACATAATGCTTTCGTCTGTAGGGCTTATTGTCATTCTTAAGTTAACATGCTGATCATGGTGTATGCCTAATTTTTTAAGTTATATTAATGTGCAACTAAAGATTTTTTTTCAGGAGTAAAAGTAACAATTTACAATTTCTTCTCATCCCAATAAACTACTGCTTCATGTCTCAGATGTTAAAGTTGCACAGTTAAGCACACAAGAATCAGGAAATGCAAAAGTTAAGACTTTGTATACAACCTTAACTTTGTTCCCTTGTGCATTTTTACTACCGTAGTCTTTAATTACATGATCACATAATATTTTTCTCAAAAAATAGTTTAACATGCAATTTTCGATAGCATTCCTTATGCATTGTAACACTTTGCACTATATTTCATTCTTGAATATTTATACAATTTGTCCAGGGTATCTTTGATCGTTTCTTTTTCTTGTCTTGGGTACATATTTAATAACTTACCAGCTATTTCTGTCAGACCAGCAACACAAACTTCCTTAGGTGCAGTAGGTTTGTAGATTAAGGCCAGAAAGCATCATTGTGATGATCTAATTTGATAATTTAGTAGAAGAGATGAGGCAATTAACTGTAAAACTAATGCTTTCTATTGTTCTGTTACACAATATACCACTGGGTAAGTGTAAGTTATTTTTTTTAAAACAATGTATGGCATAAATAGTGTATTACTCAGTACAAGTTCCATTCTTGTGCACCTCATAGACAGATGAACTTAAAACTATGTGGCAGTAGGTGACATTTTATTCCTAAGGTATTTTAGAGTGGAGCTTCCTCCTATATACCTTCATAATATGCATGTGAACGGATTCTTCATTACGTTCACCTTATAACACCTACAAGTTATAAAGGGCCTGCTTCTATTACCCTTTGTCTTGCTTGCATACTATCTTATGTTTCCATTAGTCCAAATCTATGTTTGTGGTACGTTGAATGGAAAATCATTATTACTGTTTAGATAGTAAAATACTTCTGAGAAATTAAGGCAATTGAATCTGCCTCTTGTAGGAGCCTTCTCTCAACCTCTTTTTACTTTATCATCTTTGAGAGAGACAAAAATGATGCAGAGTGCAACTACTTTTGAGTCAGGGTAATTAATTTTGATTTATACAATTATAATTGACAAAAATTTGCCTTTGTCATTCTGTACCAAGAGAAGGTCATAGTCCCTGTCCCAAAGGATTGATCATTTTGTATTTGTGCACTTAACTTTGTTAGCAGATTGAGAAGGTTTCCAAATTTCAAAATGAAATTAAAATAGCTAATGAAGTGGTGTTAAAAAGAAAGGCAAAAAGAAAAGTTGAGATCTAAACAATCATTTCTATGAAAAGTGGGTATTTGAAATAAATTAAAAAATAATTCTGGTATTAGTTAAGATAAAGTACCGGTAACCTTTTATATAAAATGTATTTGACACCTAGACTATACTAACATTTTTTTAAGTAAAGTCTACGTTTTAAACAAGTTTAAACAAAATCCATTACAAATACATTTTAAAGTACTATGCACTTGGTGTCTGCTCAGGAATGTTGTATTTCCAGTATAAGTGAGCAAGGAACTCTTAGCTGTCAAAGGTATCCTGGTTATCAAAATCAGTATTTCTCAATCTTTTGGATATTAAGAACTGTCTTGCTGCCTTTTAGAAAGGTGCCTGGGAGATCTCAGGAACCAGCATTGATCCACAGGCCAAGTTTTGGGAAACATTACTCTCAATTACTGGTAGCTCAGGGTACGTCTAGACTACATGCCTCTGTCACCAGAGGCATGTAGATTAGGCTACCAGGCATAGGAAAATGATCAGCTGTTTGTTGGCTAAGCGCGGTAGTCTGGACACGCGGGTGTTGACATCAAAGGAGGGAAGTATACCTGGGAGGTGGTATACCTGGGTGGTCGACAAATGCCTTTGATGTCGACACCCGCGCGTCTAGACTACCTCTGATCAGCTGTTTGTCGGCTCAGCGCAGCAGCCATGTAAATTTAAATGAAGTGGCAATTATTTAAATCGCCGCTTCATTTTCCTATGCCTGGTAGCCTAATCTACATGCCTCTGGCGACAGAGGCATGTAGTCTAGACGTACCCTCAGACACATTTTAACTTGTTCCTAGAATATCCAGTGTTGCCCCAGTTTCTTATTTTGCTGGCTAAGATTGCCAGCTTTTCATTTGATACCTTTCCAGGAACCACAAATTTCTTGACACATTATGTCAGAAGCCTCACTGAATTTGAGAATTTGACCCAGCCTATTAATCTCCCACTCTCTTTAAAAGTTGAAATTTTATTCATACATCTGGATTTTTGATGTAATTTTAATGATTTGAATTCACTGAAATTTAGGAGTCATTGCTTTCCACTAATTAAGGAATTTATTTAGAAGATTTTAGGAGAAAAGGTATTATAGAATGGTAAGAACACTGTAGGTTACAGCTACCAGCACCAGAAAGACCTCCCCCTCCCAAAAAAACAAACTAACTTTAAATGTGAGGAGAATCTTTGGTTGTCTGCACTGGTAGCTCCACACTGAAACCTGGTGATATACCTTCAGAGCGCAAGCATTACAAGGGTACTTCTGTCATAAATTGTATACTTCTGACAAGCAAGTAATTCTCATAAGGCACTTAAATACTGAAAATTTAACAGCATGACAAAAGTTTTAGATACCTGTCACAATCTAGTGTGCAGTACAGATAAATAAGTTAGGGGTTCCCACTATCTGCCCTACAACCATGGATGCCTCACAATGCTTTGGTATTGTAGCTCCCAACCTGGGCCACTCACAAAAAGCCCCTTAACATGCAGGTCATACGCTGGCTTTGTATCGCTGCAGCCCTGGTCTAGCAGTTCTTACTCCAGTGGACTGTCAACAATACACCGGTCACACTCTGGCTTCCACTGGCTTTGGTTGCTACTTGCTGGTTGACCGCAACACACTCCCAGTCCCAAATGCATCTTCTGCACTATCCAGGCTTCTCCTGGATGGTTCAGGCTCTAATAGTTCATTGCCCTTGTAAAGGGTCAAATTCAACAGTTAGCCATTTTACCTGGAGTTAGCGAAGAGTTACATTTAAAATTTTTAAGTTATTAATAAAAGAAGATAGAATTTTAAGTGAATTCGAGTGTAGGGTATTGGTCAGAGATGGAAAACCTGAGAAATAAAGATGAAATGTTTTCTAGTAGCTTAAAACTTAATATTCTACGTATGGTTAAAGGAAAATCCCTTACCACATATTTTCAGCAACATGGCTGACCACATTCTCAGGTAAAGATCTCATTCTGAAATCAAAGGGCTGGTTCCCTTGTTGTCTTAGGTAGAAGAGAGAGAGCAAGCTTGGTGTTTTCCACTTTCTCTTATAGTCTTTCAAGTGGATTCTTCTGAGTGTTACCCCTCAAAGCAAAGTTTATTCCAACAGTTAAAGAAGGCTACGTGGAGCTTGGTGGTGAAGGAGGCTCCTATGCTCTTTCTTCTCACTTGTGTTTGGTGAAATGCAGATTTGCTTTTTCTCCTGCCATTTCCTCTGGTTGCTGTGTCTCAGACCCTCTTTAGTACTTATATGTAAATTCAGAATTCTTCAAGCTAAGTAGAGCAATCTGATTTTCAACATGTGCTTAAAACATCAAGCCGGAATATTTCATAACTTTATATATGATGCTAAATACATTTCACCGTGGTATTATTGACTAGTCAATTAGTTTTAAACTAATATTTCATGAGGTATGTTTTATACAAAGATTATTATAGTCACAAATGGGGTGTGAATACATGGTGCTTTAGGTCACAGTATCCAAAAAGGGAGAAAAGCCAGACACTGCCTGATGTCCACAAAGATCTTTACTATTGCTAATTGGTTTTAGGTGAAAGGTGTGTTTTGATGCTAGCTTAAGCAGTGATATATAACCCTAAGATGGATAATGAAAGCAGTAAGTACATCTAATGAATTAGAACCATCAAAGTTCTTAAAACAAGGTATGGATCACTGCCATTGGTGTGGTCACTGCTCTTCCTGATTATACACACATTCAGGAGCCAGATAATGGGGGATTGAAAGATTGGAGGTATGGGAATTGTCTCTAAACCAGTTTTTTATGAAATGGTATACAGAGTGAAGATGGAAAATCCTTGAGCTTGGGAAAACAGTTCAAATCTTCCTGACTGACTCAAAAGAGGAAGTCTAATATCACTTAGTTTTTGTTTGTAAGGTAGAAGTAAGCAGAGCCAAAGTTTCTATGGTCACCTGTGGCATTTGATATGGCTTTTCTTAACTCAGGGTGAAAACTTATTTTTTTGAAATATTCTTAATTTTTATTGTTTTCAACTTGATACTATTATTGCATTTCTATAACTATAAGTAGCAGTTCTACTTTACTCTTTCACTGTAGTGTGATTGTATAAATGTTTTTTAAATATTACATATTTTGCTATAATTTAGTTTTCTTTGTACAGTTTCTACCTGTGTATATACCTTCAGAAGAGGAAAAGAAAAATCCATCTTTGTATGCAAATAATGTCAGACGAATAATGGCAGAGTAAGTATTCTGTTAATATATTGATTATAGACTAGAAAAATAGATGCTTGATTTCACTTCGGTATCAAAAAGAAATATTTGGCATTATAAACTTTTGCCTGCCTGTAGGTTACATTTTATATTGATAGGGCCCTATCAAATGCAGTCTATTTTGATCAATTTTATGGTCTTCGTGTTTTAAAAATCATATATTGCATTATATAATCTATTTAAATCTGAAATTTCATAGTGTTATAATTTTAAGGGTCTTTACTCATAAAGGAGTTCTGGGGGAGTCACAGTGTTATTTTAGGGGGTTGTTGTGGTATTTATACTCTCACTTCTGATGGTGGCTGTGCTGCCTTCAGAGCTGGGCAGCTAGAAAGCGGTGGTTGCTGGCTAGGAGCCCAGCTCTGAAGACAGGATAGCCGTTGGCAGCACTGCAGAAATAAGGATGTCAAAGTATTGGTATTGCTACCCTTATTGATCCGTTGCTACTGCCAAAGCACTGTCTTCAAAGCTGGGTGCCTGGCTAACAATTGCTGCTCTCTAGCCACCCAGATCTAAAAACAGGGGAGAAGTAAGGGTGGCAGCACCTCACCCTCCTCTTGTAGTGCCATTTCCTTTTGGGTCAGTCCCCCCATGTTGAGAAACGCTGGTCTCCCCTGTGAAATTTCTATAGTATAGAGTAAAAGCACAGAAAATACCAGATTCACTGGGATATGGGAAGAGGGAAGGAGGAAAGAGGCCAGATTTCCCAGTCTGTGGTACAGTTTTCATGGCTGTAAATTTGGTAGGGCACTACTTATTGATATATTTATTTAAAACTTTTTATATACCGTTAACTTTTTTTCTGATGTATTTTGTTGTTTGAGAAAAGTAAGAAACTGCAATGATTGGAAGAAAGCAAGTAATATAGAATCAGTGTGTTTCCTTTATTATAGTTTTTAGCCAACTTAACTCAAATCAGCAAAAAGAAATAGTAACTATAACTTGAAGTTTAAGCTATATAAGTGAATTTACTTGTTTTAAAAAACTAGAGGAAAAATAGGTTACAGCTAGGATTATAAATTTGTATATAATTTTTCAGTCTGACATTATTTCAAAAGTTAAAATACAGAAATAAAAAAAGATTCATAGTAATGAGCTCAGACTGCCTTAATGATATAATACTGATTAAATGTAAAACACTGCTATCAAGGCAAATAATATTGCACAGTTAATTCATGCAATCCACAAACTTCATCACTATTCCATTATGTTTATGCACTGATAGGAGAAGTACACAATAATACATTTATTTATCAAGTAATACTATATATTGTACAATTTTTGTACCACCTCAGCAATGCACATGGAACTGTATTATTCTTACATCATTCCCCTTTCATAATAGTCCAGTGTTTCTTTTGACTTAAACTTCTGTTTTTCTTTCTATATATTTATCTTAATTTGGTCAGTAACCCTGTATTGCACATGCATACATAAACCATCCCCACTCACCCATACACATAAAGGGTTAGATAGGATTGTATTGATGTATGTTTTTAATGATTGCTCTAGATTAGTTCCTTTTTCTGCCACCTCTGTGCCCTCTGAAGTATACACCGGGCTTTTGGTGGTGGAGGTGGTCACCAATGAGGATAGCATCTGCTCCTTATAGAAATGGTAGATCTTAAGTTCAGCACTGGAGAAACAATTTGCCTCCTTCATCTTATGGTATACCTACCTCAGCTCCTGATCATAGCCCTTTTTGCGCAAGCCTTGAGAAATGTGCCCATACGTAACCTCATTTATTTGGGTCAAGTGCAGATAGGATTCACAGACTCCTCTCACGTAAACTGATTAGATCCAACAGCTCTGCTGTGGTCCAGGTGGGAAGTGTTTGCTCTAACCAGCTATCTTCCTGGGAAGATGCAATAAGACCTCCCACGTTGAGTCAGCAAGCAGGAAATGGAATTGAAAATTCCCAGGTCTTGGAAGGCAGTCTAACTAAATACATTTTCTAAACTGTAAATGAATATTAAGGCCACTCTGCAGAAGTTCAGTATGTAAAAAGAATTAACCATTTTTCCAAATGGTTCCTGAACTTGTCTAGAATTTTGGACTACTTTAGAATGGCTCTGGGCACCAAAATTAACACGACATATATTTGGACGACACATTCAGGTGCCTGCTAATATGGAAAGGCATTTTGTACCTGGGTGTCTGTCTTCAACAATTTTTTCTGAAGTGTAACAAAGCATGTGTTGCACAAAAGAGACTGTTTCTTCTATATCCATATGAGGTAGGTATTTTTTGTCAAATTTGAAATGTAAGGTTCTACTTAAAGCAGTATCCCCTTCTCCACTGATCCCTTATAACTTCTAAAAATAGTTATGAGAAGGTGAAAATAGTTTTCCTTGGAAAAATCCACATTCTTTTGGGATTGTGATCTTTAAGGGCAGCTGCTGCTCCTGCAAGACAGCCGTGTTAAACAGAACCAATTCCATTGTTGCTTTTGAACGAAACATACTTGGACAAAAAAAGCTTTAATAGGTGTGTGTTGGATGGCAGTAAAATTTCTGGAAATTTTTATGCCATTTGTCACTTCCCTGCTAAGTGCTTAGGGAGTAGCATCTTCTCATGCTCATAAAGATATCATTGTCTACAGGCTTTCTTTTTTATAGGAGACGCTGAAGGCCAATCTTTGGTTCCACCTGCTTCAGAGCTGAGTACCTGTAAAGGTCCAGAAGATCAGCTTCTAGATCAGTTCTCAAGTCATCTTTGTCTAATATGGCTTAGGTGCAGGCTGAGTCATCTTGAGTGTGATGGCTTCTTCAGTGTTTAAGTAATCCTGGTTGCCAAAGTCTTTGGTGTTGACTAAAGCCTCCGGGCACATGGCTACAGAAACCAGTAGCAGCCCTAGGGGTTCTATGTCATGCACCCGTGTGATTAGTTAGGACTGACTGACTTAATAGATTCTGCTTTCCTTTATAGTATCACAGAGAAATCACAATTTCTTCCTCCCCTTAAAGCAAAAGGAAAAGACAAGGCTTTTTTCAGCAACATCTGGAAGAATTCTTTTCTGCAACATTAGCACAGGTTCCATGAAGCATCACCTTGAAGTACTTCAGTGGATCAGAAGTTGCCCAATAGACCACATAAATGAACTCCAGATCCAAATAGTGGTCAACTCCTGTTATGTACTCTCCAGTAGAGATTACTAACATGCTCAAGTACCTGATAATTCGGGGGGTTTTGTATTGATTCAGATAATAGAGTTTTATATGCTGAGGCTGGTATGCAAGAGCTATTTGAGTTGCCTTAGCTACTAAGTGAGAGAGACCTTAGTAGTTAACCCTTAATGTTGCCCTAGGTAATTCTTATAGTAGAGACTCTTCCATCTATAACAGTAGCTCTTCTGCTTTCAGGACAGAAAGGAATGTCTCCAATAAGACTCTTGTTGGGTTTTTGTAATGATCTATATAGTTTTGCACATGGGAGCAAAGGGCCTTTTGTAAAAGATCACCTGAAATGCCTGTGTTTGTTTGCTTCTCCTTTTCATTGTGACTGCAAGTTTTTTCTACATCCCTCTTCTTCTCTTAGTTTTGGGATGTATCAGTATCAGTGTGCTCTATAGGATATTTAAGGAGATGTATGTGATTCTACTGATGTCAGAATTTGTGTCTGTCTCCTGATGATTCTTTGGAAGTACAAAGTTTTCATTGCCAGATTATTGCTGTGAATTTCAGGGTCCACTGGGGTACTTGAAAGAGGCATTTCTCTATCCTGAAGAAAATTCAAACACTTGAACTTATTTTAAAATGAACAGAAGGAAAGGATTGCACTTCCAGTTGCAAAGATCTGTTTGGATTAATTACAGAGCTCTCTCTGACTTCAACATTGGCCTCTACAGAGGCAAACCAAAGTGAAGTACTTGTATAAAATGTTGTAACAGCATTTAGAATAGTTCTACTGGTATCCTCTCTTGTGTTTTCAGTGTTTCTGCTGCTACTAAGCATGTGAAGGGCATTAGGACTAGCTGTCTACAGCTGTAATTATTTCTCACTATAGTAACGTGCAGCATTCTGTCTGATTAGGAATGAGACCAGAACAGAATGATTTATGTATGGAGCAAACTGACCTCAAAATCATCAGAAAGGACCTCCACCTGTAGTTTTAGGAGGCATTTTTAAGGCTGCTACAGGGACTTCCATTCATGCTTTCTCAAACAACATAGTCAACATCTTTACCCTTGCTGAGCTCTAGTAACCTCTTCAATGCCTTTTCAGATCCAGATGGGTAAATTGAATCTTGCCTGCCCTTTCTCCTTTGGGATGATTTCCTGCTTTCTACATCCCTAACTGTCTGTCTGACATGGAGAGAAGACTGGAAAAATTGTTACCTGTGAAACTTTTCTCAGTTGGACAATGTAACCGTGCCTTTGATAATTATATTCTGTCCAGGGGACGTTTTTTCTGTGGCATGCTTACTACATTTTTTGAAAACAATACTCAGTAGTCTGATGGCAGTTTAGGTCCCTTTTTGGCACCTCATAGGGTCAGTCTCCATGCAGATTAAAAGTTTTTAATATAGTTTGTTTGGATTATGGGAACTGTAGGATTTTTTCTTTATACAGTAGACTTCTGATAATCCGGAACCTTTGGGATCTAGGTGGTGCCGGATTATTGGATATGCCGGACTATCAGGAGGTACTATAAAATGGTTTTTTAATATATACACGCACATGTACATGCACACGCGCACGCACGCACTGTATACATCCGTGGTCACCAACAGGTCGATCGCGAGGCCTCGGCCAGTCAATCGCGAGGTGTCCTGTCGGCCCCGCCCCCATTTCCCTCCCACCCCGAGAAGCCCCACTACTTACCTCAAGTGAAAATGGAGGTAGTGTCGGCTTCCCGGGGATGGACAGAAGTCCCGCAGCTTCGCGGCGATTCCGGAAGTGCTCTAGCTGGTCTGCCGCGTGTACTGTGGGAGGGCGCATCGGCTCCCTGCACTGCACAGGAGGGGTGAGTCAGCCCCGGGGGAGGCGCGCGTGGGGCTTCCCTGCACCGCTGGGGGGGAGGGTCGGCCCCGGGGCAGGCACGTGCTGGTTTCCCTCTGGGGGGAATCCTGGGAGGAGACAGATACAGGGGACTCTCAGCCCCCACTGGCACCCCACTCCCCAGCTACAGAATGCTGTCCCCAGCTGCAGAACGCTGTCCCTATTCCCATTCCCACTCCCCAAACTCTGTCCCCACTGGCACCCTGTCCCCAGCTGCAGAAACCTGTCCCCACTGGCACTCTGTCCTCTGCTACAGAACCCTGTCCTCTCCCCTCCTAGCACCCTGTTCCCTCTCCCCTGCCCCCGGCTGCAGAACTCTGTCCCCACAAAATGTATAATTATAAATGCTTCATTTTAGATTTAAATAGCATGAATAAAAACAGACCATTTATTTCATAACTATAAACATGTGATTTTAATTTTATATATCGCATAATTTAAAAATAAACTGTTTATCAGAGTGTGTAAATAAAGGCTGAGGATAGCAAGTGATGGACAGGAGGAGAATAGGGGGGCAGGGCTTCAAGGAAGGGGCGGGGCGGTAGATCTTCACCTGTTCTGAGATTTAAAAAATGATCTTGGGTATAAAAAAGTTGGAGACCACTGGTACAGAGTATATACTGTATATAAAGTGTTTTTAACCCTTTTATTGTACATACTATATACAGTATACTGTAATGTTTTAGTTTTTTAAACCCTTTTTTACCCTTTTCACTCAGTTCAGCTGCTGCCACTGCTGCCTTGTGACTCATTTTTGGCCAAAGCTCACTCACTAGGCTCTTGCCATTTTGATGCTGGACTATTGGGAGTGCCGTACAATTGCATGCCGGACTATCAGAGTTTTACTGTATTCACTTGGTTCCAAATATTTTGAGGGAAATTTACCCTTGCTTGTATTCAGGCTAGTTATACTGGTGTTTTTCACTGTGTACTTTTTGGGGAAATGTTCTGTGAGCTACAATTATGATGCCTGTCACCCCTGTGTAGGGGTTTGGAATTTTTTAAATCTGGAAGTGAGGGACATGCAGTTGCTCCTAATACTATCAAGCTTCTGCCCTTGAGAGAGCATAAGAGGTGGAGCGATCCAACCTGTGATCACCCTGTTGAAGAGTTAGAACTTCTCAGTGTTCCTCCTATAACTTTATTTAGTTTTAGATTACGATATGTAGGTTCATGTAGCAGTTAGTATAGATTTTTGGGGGGGAGGGCTATTAGTATTAAAAAAGGCTTAAGTACCAGGTTAGTTGTAAGGTATTAAGAAATTTCATTGGAGGGCCTACAGTATGCATTGTCCCCTCTCACTCTCCTGGCTTCTACAGTGATACTTCTGAAAGATGGACACAACTGTTAATACTTCCTTAGGGAGAATCCATTTGACAGCAAAATTTTTTTTCAAGATTTTCAAAGAACAAACATGAAAGGTTAGTGAATCAAGGCATATGTCTGTTTATAAGGGAAATCTCTCTCCAAGCAGTAGAGGTCTTAAGAGACCTTATAAATATAAGAATCTGCTACAACAGACTGAGATTCTTATTGGAGCATTCAGAGACCTCTGCTAGTCATGGGAGAAAGAAACAAGACTCTTGAGGGTCACCTTAGTTCAAACCAACATCCTCAGTACTAGCTAAGAAGTCAGTCAAGTTAGTGCCAATAGTATGTGTCCATACCAAATCACTCTTCTCACAGAGTGCCATCCTTGCTTTCACACGCATTCTTGTAATTAATGAGCCTTCATTAATTTTACCTCATCTCTGGGCTTCTTGTTCAGTTTCACAGTGTCCTATGTCAATTTCACCTCAGGACACCATGCTCTTCAGTTTCTACACAACAGAGAAAACTCCATGGCAGGCCTATGCCAGTTCCCTGACAGCCAGATTGGCTTGGGCATGTTATGGAGCCATTTCATTGCTCTCTAGTGTTCCAGGCTTGGGCCACAGCTTGGGCTCTGGGACCCTGTAGTTCAGTACTACTTTTTTCCAAGCTCATATTTCAGGAAGCTTTAACATTAATTTTATTTACTTAATTTTGTTCACCTTTTATATTATCCGTAGTGGGTTTTTTCTTTTGCATCCCCTTGGACTTGTATTTGAAGAGGTAAAGTAAACATTCTGCAGCATGTTTCCATAGTATATATCTTCTTTTTGTACTTACATTTTTCCTATTGGCTATTCACTTTTTAAAATTTTTGCTTTGTTATATTGGTATAGGGTTTAATGCTCGGTACAACCAGGATAATTAATATTGTGCATGTGTGTAGAAGATTTCATTTGTGTGTATCAAAAGATACTTACTTTATCAGATTTCTTTACTCAAGGGCCTTGGGAGTTTCAGTAACAGACTACACATTTGAAGACTGCCAGCTAGCTTTGGCTGAAGGACAACTTCGTCTGCCTTCAGATACCTGCCTTTTAGAGTTTGCAAAGCTCGTGAGAAGCCTTGGGTGAGCACATACAATTTTATTTCTAAAGCATGATTATTCCAATATTGTTTCACTAATATTTATACACATGCACGTTACCTCTGAGTGGAAAAGGGCATTTTATATTATTACAGGTTGAACCTCTGTAGTCCAGCACTCTCGGGACCTGACTGATGTTGAACTAGAGAATTTGCTGAACCAGAGGAGGTCAATATTGTCTAGCAGCATTACCAACACTTCCACTGTTTACTGGGCCTATAGGAGACATTTAGGGGGTAAATTAAAGCTAAATAACAGTACAGAACACTAAGAGCCAGGACTGGTGGGTGTAAACAAACTTTATGGGACCTCAGGAAACTTGACCAGACCAGTGATAAGTGGACATCTGGCTAACTAAAATCACGCTACAGACATTGCTGGACCAGAGAGTTTCAGATTAGAGAGGTTCAACCTGTACAAATAGGAAGCACTAATTTATATTTCAAGAAGTACCACACTAGAGGTTAATTTCAGCGAAGGCCAGCCCTTCTCCTCCCCTTCCATGCACCCTCCAACATTTGAGAGGCTTTGTCTGGACCAGCAGGTGAAAAAAAATCATTTGCTTCTTTAAAGATTTACCTCTGATTTTCTCCCTGAAGAACTTCTGGGGCTGGGGAGTGGGGTCTTTGACTAACTGGCTGGACAGAAGGTTGCAGTGTTTGTCTTTTGGCTCCTGAGTATTCAGCTGAGGGTTTCTAAGCCCTTCCCCTGCCTGAGGCATCATTCTTCATCCTGAACAAAGTTCTTCCTCTTGGGATGAGGGCAGGACCAGGGTTCCCTCTAAGGAGCACACTTGTGTGTGAGTGCACCAAGAATTTGACTCCCGTGCACCTTCTTAGAAGAGCCACGCAGAGGCCACTCAGCTGCCCCGGGGTGGGTGGCATGGTGAGCAACAGCCCCACCTCAGGAGCAGCTGGGCAGCCACTATGCAGCCTTGCCCCTAGCTTCAGCCCTTTCCCGGGGCTGAAGCTGCAGCCATGGTGTGCCATGGCGGCTGCCAGAGCTGGAGCCTTGGCCACAGTACTAAAAATAGCACCATGGCCCCAGCCCAGGAGCTGCTGCACCACGGCCCCAGATCTAGTCCTGGTACACGGGGCAGCTGCCCGTGTGTTGGGACTGGAGCCAGAGCTGTGGTGCTATTTTTAATACTGCGGTCCCAGCCCAAAAACTGCCACTCAGCTCGGACCCCAGCTGCTCCCAGGGCAGGATTGCGTGGCAGGTGGCTGCCCCACATGCTGGGACCACCCGCAATGCTATTTTTAGTTCTGTGCTCCAGCCACTTGCCACATGGGAGGCAGAAGTTGAGGGAAGGGGCAGGGGAGAACTAAGGGGAAAGTGGGAGGAGAGGAAGGGAAGGGGCTTGTGCTGACAGGAAAGGAGGGGGGCCAAGGCAGGCAAAGAAAGGGGAAGGCACTAAGGGGCAGGGTGGAGGAGAGACAAATGCCAGCTTGCCAAGAGGAGACAGTGGAGGGGAAAGGGCAGGAGGGAAGAGGAGAGGGAAGGTGGGAACAGTGATGCTGGGAAAGGAAAGGGGATGGGGGGGGGGGGTGAAGCAGAAGGAAAGATACAGGAAGGGGCAATGGGGGAAAGAGGGAGGAAGAGGAGAGGGCAGGAGCAGGTGCTAGGAGAAGTGGGGTTGAAAGGAGACATAGGCAGGGGAATGGAGTAAATCATGTGTGAGAACTGGGGCAAAGGATGGTGAAGGGGTGGGCATCAGGGAGAAGGAGGACAGGGCAGTAAGGCAAGGGGGAGGTATCAGGAGGGTGAAGGGGGTAAGAGAAGGTGCAGGTGCTAAAGAGATTGTGCTTATTGCATTCATAACACAAAATACAGATCTGTTCAGCTGGAAGCTTTGCAACTAAGAACTTGGAGACAGAAGTTGTCTGTAGCTCAGAGCCACCAAGGTAGATGGTTGCATAATGTATAGAAATGTTACTCAGTACCATTTTTTATATAAAAGAGGACCTTGAAAGTTCTTGGCCTACAAGGACCTTTATCAGTTCTTGTTTCTATATTTACAAAACGGTAGAGAAAAAATATTTTTCTCTGAATACTTTGATGTATTTGTTAGCTTCAAGAAGTATCAGAACAGGCCTTAAATGTCCCTTGTTTTCTTGTCTGCTTGATTTTTTTTTTTTTTAATTTAAAAGTGCAAAAATTCATTAAACTCATCCAGCATGTGTTTAGCTTTACATAAATTCCTTTGATAATCTTTCTTTGATAATACACATTTCTTTACTTTGAGGAAAAATAACTCTTGTAGTTGAGTTGATCACTTGAAATGATACAATCAAGTACTTATGCAATCTGGCATAAAGCATAGAATATTATTTGTCACCTTTCTTATAAGTTATATTTAGTAATAGACATTCAAGCTTTGGAGAATATGTATGAGTGGATCAGATCAGACAAGGATAATCTGCACTTGATTCATCAGAGAGCCTTAACTCTGATTTATATTTCTTGTATGCAGAACAAGCATTCCATGTAACTACTATTTCTTAAATTGGCTATTTATCTGTAATAAAAAGAATTGTCTAGAATTATACTGAATTGACTTCACCTCTGATCCAAAATAAAGTATAGCCCTGAGACACAATGTGAATGAGTAGAAATATTCAATAAGCTGTTGTGTAGGATACACTTTCCACTGCATACCTACACAAGCTCAGAAAGGCCAATTAACACAGTTCCCTGAAAGGAGAGCTGGGTTTAATTGAGGAGGAAGCCCATCTTGGATAGGGTCTGGGAGAGGACTATTAACAGGAAGCTGGCTACTGAAAGTTTTCCAGTATTTAAATTTTTATTTACTCTCAAGTCAAATAAAAAGAAGATTGTCATGCACCTTGCTAATTATTCCTTGTTTTAGTATCCTTTTTTCCATAACATTTTAAAGATAGTTAAATTTGTTGATAACTTGTGTGCCACTATGGCACACATCCGTACATGCACACATGACCTCAATATTGGTGCACAAGACAAAACTCACTCCACTTATGGATGGAAAATCTTAGAGCAGGGGTGGCCAACCAGTTAGACACGAAGAGCCAAAAAAGCTGTGGATAGTAGTGCAAAGAGCCACACATCCCTCCCCCAGAGCAAGGCACCCCCCAGGCCACTCCCATTCTAACCCAATGCCTGGGTCTCACCGGAGCTGCCACCGCCACAGCCACGCACTTCTCCCTCCAGCAACTGGGGTGCGTGCACAAAGCAGGCATGTGGCTCCAAACGAGCCGTAACCCTGAGAGCCGCATTTCTGTGAGCAAAGAGCCACATGTGGCTCAAGAGCCACAGGTTGGCCACCCCTGTCTTACAGGGAACACTGGGTAGGACCCAGGTTTTGAGGCTTTGATTTGGGCATCATCCTAGTTACCTTTTGAGGAGCTGGGAAGGAATTTTCCCTTGGCTGTCAGATTGGCTTGGGCACACTATGAGGTGCTCTCACTTTTTTCTCCAGCAGCATAGGAAATTCTTGGGTTCAGTCAGATTGTAAAATGCACGTAACAAATGGGTGGGTGCCTCGTGTGGAGTAGTATTTGATAGGTGGTGCAGCTCTACCGCATATTAAAAGAAGTTATCTCCTAAAGAAGGTTGGGAATGAAATTGGGACTCCTAATGTCTTGTATGGCAAGGAGTCAACCCACTCATCTCTTAATTTTCATATAAGGACAGGCAGTCAAAACCCAGCAAACAATGCTGGGTCAGTGCGTAATGGAGTGGGATGGGGACAGCCCTCCCCCAGGAGGTAAAGAGAAGGTTGGGAGTGGGGGGGAAGGAGTATGGTATAATGGCCGATCTAGGTAGCACAATTTACAGAAAGGAGGAGGATTTTTCTGTTTTATTGCCAGTTTGTTCCCAGATGTGTTTCTTGATTGGAGTGTGGCCTAGCAAAACAGTATTATTGGTGTTTTGTTTTCCTGAAGTGCCTAGAGTCATTTTACTGGGTTTATTTTTAAAATCTCACACTTGTTACATTTCAGACAAGTCTTAGGTAATCTTATAACACAACAAATGTATATACCCCGTGATTCAACTGGTAGCTCCTCTCCTGGTGTGTCCAGAGGAAGTAGTTATGAACACTTTAGATTCTGTCTACCAATGTTGATTAAAGCTGATATATAAACACCAGTCTGGCCACTTTCTTTCCAGTTCTCTTGTTTGCTTCACCTGGAAGCATGGAGTGCAACCCATGTTTCCATTCCCAATTCTAATTATTTCCTTTCACCAATTAATCCAGCAGCTGTACATACAAGGAGGGAAAGGAGAAAATAATTTCTAGTATAGGGAATATAGAAGATGGAAGAACAACAAAAACAATAATTCCTTTTTCTATAGAGACCTTGCACCTAAAAGATCTCCAACAGGCAAGGAGAGATTGCTACAGGGATTCAGCAGAAATGGTCTCTTTTCCACACCAAACTTACCTTTAAAGTCCTGATCTAGACTCAGACTAAACCCCACCTCCTCCTTTAGTATGCAGGTGCTAATCCTAAAGCTCATTTTAGTCGTCTTACAACATTGACTGGCTTCTGTTCCTGCTCAGCAGGCTACCAGTCAGCCTCAAAGCTGTTCACCAAATTATGTCCTCTTGAATTCTGGGTTTTAGTGCTGTCACTACAACCAACAACAACAGTGGTCCACTTACAGCCCTTGATCTAAATTGTGGCCATTGAGACCATGGTGATGATAAAGAAATTTGTATTGGATTCTGAATTGAAATGTACTTTCCCAGTTGCAGCCTGTGACTTTTTAATTGTAAGTGAACTAGTCATATTTCTGTAGAGACATGGGTAGGGACACTGTGTCCCCAGCTGCTGCTTTTAATTTCAGTGGCAGCCTCAGGACAGTTCTGGCTGAGCTTAGAACTCTCTGAACAGCTGTTTGTTCTTTCCTGCTGCAGCTCCTCCATTGGCTGGTACTGCATCATAGGAAGGGTGAAGAGAATAGCTGTGGTTGCTTTGTGAGCATCTCTAACGAGCAGCATGCCTCAGAGAGCAGGATATGAGCTCAACACCAGACCTGGGAAGGCCAGGAAAGTGGGAGGGGGATCATAGCCTGTTTTGATTTCCAGATTGACTCCCTCAATCCAGGATAGGGATCAGATTTGAGCCACTGTGGACTGCAACACTAAGGCTTGCAAGGAAGAAAGGAGTTGTGGGACCTGGCTGTGCAGCTGTAAACCACCCCTAACGTCCCCAGCATCAGGGAATCCCTAGTGGGTTTCCTGCTTCCTTTTTTTTTTGTTATGCCTGAGTAGCAGAGAAAGGAACTAACTGGGTCATAGAAACTGACCTATAGCATTGACTGAATTACCTTATTTCTAAAAGGATTTATCCTCAGACTGAAAAGGGCACATTGTCCTGTGTTAATTTGGCTACTCACCATTCAAAATAAATTTGCTGGTTGAGATTCTGTGGATACTATGGGGGAAGGGCATGGAACTTACTCTTTATGTAACCCAAAGCATACAACTTTAGAAGCTTTTAGTTTCCATCATTAGCACTTTAAGTATATTACTATTTTGATAAAGTCATACCCATAACTAAAAGAGCGCAAAATTTGTGTGCAGGACCAGGCCTTAGATAAGAATCTGGCTCTGTAATTGGAAAAGAAATGGGTGAACTCATGCTAGTTCTATACTAACTAGCTTTAACTGTTTAGCCGAGTTAGTCTATAACAGGAAAAACTTTATAAACAACTAATAGTCTAGTAGCCCCGTAGAGATGGTATCATGAGCTTTTGTGGGCACAACCCACTTCTTCATATGATACCATGTACATGTTTTGTTAGTCTTTAAGGTGCTACTAGACTTTTTGTTGTTTATTAAGTTTTAGCTTTAGCTGATAGATCTTTTTGTCTCCTTGATTGTTGGTAGGTGATAGTGCAGTCAGTAACTGCATTTACAGGTTAGGATATGAAAAGGGAGGACTCTGACAAACAGAATTAGGAGTGAAACGACTATTAATAATCTTGGTTTGCACCCACATGTGTCTTGTCTTTCTTATTCTGTGACATGGAAATAATAAATTGGTTTGTCACTGTTCTACTAATAGTCTGCAATTGCCAATTGCATGAAAGGGTAAAGAATTGGCAGAATGAGATCCTGATCTATGACTATGCGCTCCCAGACCCTACACTTAATAGAAACAATAAAAGTGAATATTAGGTTTTTGAGCTATGTTGGAAATTAAGTGGGTGATTTGTCTTTAGAGCCTTAAATATTGGTCCCCAAGCATGTTGGTTAATTCTGAATCAGAATAAGTAAGTTAGTTCTTGCATAGGATCTTACAGTGCTACCATTCATTGTTTTACAAAATGCAAGAACCTTTTTAGAAGTAGTCTGCAATATTTCTTAAAAGTAGTCTGAAACTGTCAATTTTCTTATATAGGCTGAAACCAGAGACACTTGAAAAAGATCTTGATAGATATTCGGAAAGAGCCAAGAAAATGAAAGAGAAAAGAATCAGCCTTAAAGAGTTTGCTGCATACTTGGAAGTCTCAACTTCTGACACATTAAAAAACATGTTTTCTCTTTTTGTTGAGGTAAGAAATACCAGAATATTACAGAGAATTACAGAGCTGTACCTGCTAACTGTGCTGCCTCCTAATTCTCTCTGCATAGAAATTTTCAAACTGCTCCTGGTTTGGAGCTAATAGGACACACTTCATCATCAGGGTAATTCAGGTGAAAATTACCTAACTTTGGATACCCCACCTTCCACGCTTGGCACCATACTCAAATTCTTATCGCTTTCTAAAACTTATGTTACAGTTCTTCATAGGCTGCTTTTCTGGCAAGACCAAAGATTGTTCACAGTGTAAGTACACAGAATTAGTATTTCAGTACTGAAACAAATTATTGTCTAATGTCGGAAACACAAACTTAGAGAAGCTTTCTCAGATTTTAGTTTCTTCGGGTGTTTTACTGTTCATGCCAGTGTAGGTGTATGTGCTCCCCATGGAGAGTTGCTGGCATTTGTTCTCAGTGGTATCTGTTGGATTGGTTCCAGAATCCTCTGCTTCTGCATACACATAACACCAATATAAAGGGCTCCACCAACTCTGTGCCCTTTCGGTTTCTGCTTACTCTCCATGATGGTTGCTGGAATTTCTCTCATTGCTTAGGCACTCACATTGATTAGGAGTCCATCCGCATTACGAAGATGACAAAATTTCCAAATGTACTCCAGCTAACTAACTGAATCTAAACCTACCTACTTGTCCTTTTGAAATGGGATATTTCTCCCATGGAAGAAATAACAATGTATTCTGTCAGATCCACAATGACATTTCTGGACAAACGAGTGAACTTTTGTAATGTAACTTTTCAGAATAGCACCGAATCCTTGATTGTCACCCACAATTTCCAAAACAATGTATTTAGAAAATGGCCATTCTCCATCCCATGACGGAAACAAGAGAAAATCCTTTCACAATTAAAACTAATTTTTTGGACTGAATTTTGATCATAGTAATTTGTCTTAATGATACTAGTTAGTTCTTCACTCTACTCCAAGTTAGAAATACAAATTTTCGGCATAGAATTATAGCCTGAGGTTGGGATTTTTAAAAGAACCAAAGGAGGTAGGCCCCCCCCATCTTGGATGTTCTCAACATCTACAATATGTGTGTGATATTTAATCTTTATCATTCTTTTAATAGCTGTTAAAAGTTTCTGAAGTTCTGAGGCATATAACTGAATTCTGACTTATTTTATTTCATTTACAGAATGAAGATGATGATGTAATTGATGTACGGGAATACGTGACTGCTCTATCTGTAGTATGTAGGCCATCCAAAACTTTAGAAACAATTCAGTTGGCGTTTAAGGCAAGTAGAAACTACTTACAATATTCTTCCTACAACATGTAGAAAATAAAGAATAATTGATGTGACTGAATTTTATTCCATACAGTCTTATCTACATTTACACATTAAAAAAGCATCAATAAATTGCTTATTTTCAGAGATCAGGCACCTCAGAAGTAATGAAATACAGATTTAGATATCAGTCCCACCATATGCTTTTAGCATGGTTCCTTCTGTTCATGAACTATGACCTATTAGCACATTTCATTGGAGGACAGGGGTCCGTTATGTTGAAATCTCCAAACTTAACCATTATCTCTTGTGCTTATGCTTTATTAAAATGTGTTTGTTGTAACCTTTTTTCACAAAATTATTTTTTTTGAAACATTTATGGTTTGAGGTGAAATTTTATATGTTTTATTTCTTCTTTATGTAGTGTCCCCATGGGTGCTCCACTGTGGGTGACTGTGGGTGTTGGGCCCATCCTGGTGCCACAGATTGGAGATCTCAAAGCTGTTGTCTGCCAGACCGCGCATGCGCGGTGGCCATCTTGCAGCTTTTCGCGCCGTTTTCTGTCGCACAGTCCGGCTCCCGCCAGTTCCTCCTAGCCGTCTTCAGGCACAGATGGAGAAATAGCTCCCTCTCATGTCATTTGTTAGAACCTGAGAGGAGAGAATTTGTACCATTATTTCTGTAAATAGTATAGTTCTTTAGTATTTAAATAGTTAAACAGTGCGTTCTTTTAAAAAAAAATTATTTTTCTTCTAGTAGTTAGTAGTTTAGATAACACAATGCCTGGCTCCCCAGGCTTCAAGAAATGCACAGCATGTAAAGACACCATGCCTGCCTCGGACGGCCACTCCACGGCTGTGTCTACACTGGCATGAATTTCCGGAACTGCTCAAAATGGAATACTATTCCATTTTCAGTTTTTCCGGAAAAGGAGCGTCTACATTGGCAGGCTGCTTTTCCGGAAAAGCCCTTTTTCCGGAAAAGCATCTGTGGCCAATGTAGACGCGCTTTTCCGGAAAAGAGCGCCGATCGCCATTTTCGCGATCGGGGGGT